CAAACGCATGCCAACGAAGCTATGCGTGATAGTGGGAGCCAGGTCTGATCAACCTGGTGTACCTGCTTTCTTCGAACCTTTGAACCTTTGTAAAGGGCTAGTGAGCTCCGCAGACTTGCACGCTACGACGTCACCCTGTCGCTCCGACTCCGGCTTGCGCTTTGGGCCACTATTGTCGCCTTCGCACTCAACACATGTATTTTCCGGGCTTGTAACAACACCTACAAGCAAATCCAAGGGGCTGGGATTGGCCCCGCCCTATGCAACGTAGCCATCACCCTGATTGAACACTCCTGGCACCATCTACACAACAACCTCCTCCACCACTCAGCACTACACTTCTCATACTACCGCTATGTGGACAACCGCTTCACTGTGCACAACGAACACTTCCTCTCCCATCCAGCCATACAAACCCTGATCCACCACAACTTTTTCGGCTTTCCCGTCGAGCTGGAAACCTTGGAGGACTTCCACCTCCTGGGATTCAACATTGACCTTCCCCAACGCACAGTCACCTACATTCAACCCAACCAATCCTGGAAAATCCGGGATCTAGGAAGCCAGCGCCTTGGAGTGTCAGGACTCGCCTCTCGCTTACATGCCATTTACACATACAGCTACCCTCCAACAACAGCAGCTGCAGCGGCCGACGAACTAGTGCGACTCTATGTCCTAAAGGGACACGACGCCACAGGGTGCCAGCGTTTTCTGCGGAAAATCAAAGACATCGTGGGAACCTGAACACATATGCGCCGAAAACGGCCATGTGTGTGTGTGTGTGTCAAGCCGTGTCTCTAAGGGTCCTCCCCTTCCTTTTTGGTTTTCGTTCTCAAGCAGGGGGCATGGCAGCTGTTTCCCTAGCCATGCCAACGAAGCTATGGGATTCAGCCGGAAGGGAATGTGGACGCACATTCCTGTACCTGCACAAACAACTTTTGATCACGTTGTGACTCCAATCTTTCCTTGTTTGATTCCATGGTCCTTGCGTGATAGACCCCAAAACCTTTTCCCACCGCAGACTTGCAGCAGACTTGCAGCCGCGCTGAGTGTCCGATCGTTTTCAAGTGCAATTGAAAACAAGGTTAAACCATACTGTTCTCGCTGACCTTTTCACCTTGCCGTTACGCCGCTCCTTTTCTCCTGGGAATTGAGCTAACTGAAAACCAATGTCAGAGTGTGTGTCTCCCCCTGTTCCGAAGGGCTCTCTTCCACATACACTTTTTCAGCCAAGCAGGGGG